AAAAGAAATATTACAGTATACTAGTTTACATGTGCAAATATATATTGGAGAAAAGAAATATTACAGTATACTAGTTTACATGTGCAAATATATATATATTGGAGAAAAGAAATATTACATTGTGCTAGTTTACATGTGTAAATACATGTTGGAGTAAAGAAATATTACAGTATACTAGTTTAAATGTGCAAATATATATATATTGGAGTAAAGAAATATTACAGTATACTAGTTTAAATGTGCAAATATATATATATTGGAGTAAAGAAATATTACAGTATACTAGTTTAAATGTGCAAATATATATATATATATTGGAGTAAAGAAATATTACAGTATACTAGTTTAAATGTGCAAATATATATATTGGAGAAAAGAAATATGCTGTTTTCATATGCAATTAATCAAGCAGTAATCCTATATTTGTATAAGAATTTCATAAGTATGTATAATTGGTACTACTAACGTACTCTTGTGCATTACTCAGTCATACAAGTTTTTTAAAATAGTAACTGCTAATCCAAAAAATCTTTGGATTTAACACTTCTTACCTAATTATATTACTTCCAGTGAATTCCAACTATCATCAGTAAATCTGGACAAAATTTTCAAAACGCTAAGGGTTGGCATCATATAGTGTTGGAGTGGGTATTATATAAATAGTGTTTTTAAGTCTTTCACTCATACACTAACCTAATATTAATATAGGATATTGTATGATATGCATATATGATGGTACTAATTATTTCTTGTATATTATTTAGCTATATAAGCTATCCAACTATATAACAAACGTGTAGGTTACTCTGCCATTAAATTTATCATTTCGCACCGGGTTATGCTTCTCTCAGAGTATTTCGGCTTTCTTTATCAATCTTGGAGAATAGGTAAGATTCGTAAATATGTGTACGTATTTATACGTTATCTCGGATGAATTTTTGTTCAAATTTCTGTAAATGTGTTTAAATGAGTTTTCTGTGTGATGTGATTTTGAGTTGGTTGTAGAATGGTTTCATGTTATAAAAAGAGCACTTGTTACACGCCAGATTATTGGATAATTCAAATTTAGCATTTTCACTAACAGAGATAAAGAATCGTGAAAAATTTGTTTACTGTACTATACTGCCATGTGTCGAAAAGTTAAAGTAAGGGAAAAAAAAGTTTTTTGAAATGTTGTGTAATAAAATGAAAAAGAAGTACATTGTTATATTAACTAATACAGTGAGAAATGATATTATTTTTACAGCTTAACTTTAAGTTCAGTCAAGACAAATGGCTCATCTTCTGTTTTATATATTTCTCACTTTATATATTTTATATTTATTACATTTGTTTGTTGTAATTGGATTAATCTTAGACTATACTGCCATGCAGTGTCCGACAGTTGAACTAAGACGTAAGAGTAAAAACAAGTATACAACGTTAAAGAATTAAACCTGTAATATTAAAAAATAAAGAACTGTGAAAAAATTGTCATAAACTTAACCTTAACATTATATTCAGTCCAGAAACTTAATTCTTTCTCGGTTTCATTCACTTCTAACTTCATTCATTTTGGAATTATTATTTTATTTTGTTTTTATCGTATTTATACTGTAACGAATTGTCCCAAAGTAAAACTGAGAATTTTTTTAAAAGTAGGATATTAAAATAAAACAGAAAAGAAATAAACAATTAATATTTAAATGAAAAATACGCTGAAAATTAGCACGGATTTCACCTTAACATTAATATTTATCTCCATTTTATTAATTTCCAACGGCATTTATTTTGTATTTATTGCATTTATTTGTTTCATCGAACTTTAAGTTGAGTAAACTGCCAAAGTAAACCATTAATATTTAGATAAAATATAGTGTTAAAATTAGCATACATTTACATTACGTTAAGTCCAAAAAAATGACGCTTTCTCTGTTCTATTTATTTACTTTGTGTCTTTTTATGTGTAAACTATATTGCCATACAGTGTCCAAAAGTTACACTAACAACAACAAAAAATTAAAATATGAAAAAGAAGTAAACTTTTAATATTCAACTAAAAATTAATGTTATATTAGCATAACTTATATCTTTAAGTTCAGTCTAGAGAAATGGTTCTTTCTCTAATTAATTCATTTCCAACTTCATTTATTTTGTATTTATTACATTGGTTTGTTTTTATCACACTTTATGTATTCCTTACTACTATGTACACTGAGTGGTCACAAGTAAATAGACACTTAATTTTTCGTCATTTAACTGATTTATGCTAACTAATTTGTGTTTACAGAGCACTATATAAATGAAAATGGTCCGCACACAAATTATCTTGTGCTACAACATGCCTAGAACTCAAGGATCTCTCGAATTGTCAAATTTTGTTAGAGGAAGGATAGTTGGTCAAGGAGATGG